GCGATGTGATGCTGGAAGTGTTTGCTCTTGTCTCATCTGCAGGTAAGAGCTTCACATTGTCCCAGTATCATGAGGTGGAGACTTCTACTCCTTTATTCTCCAAATGTAGGTTTCTCTCTCCAACAACCAGACCATGGGCTCTTCCATTTTATCCCATTATCCTGTCAAATGCGCTGTAGCTGAATATGCTGAATGTGTGGAGAGCGCAGAGCAAAGGACTCCATGAATGTCCCTCACACCCACAGCCTCAGATAGGACAGGCGGTGTCTGAGAGTCAGGATTGTTGCAAACAGCTTAATGGGCCCAGCTTGCACTTTCTCTTTCTGAGGGGGTGCCTAGGTTCACATCCATGGCTTCCACTTCTGCACCATTCCTTCAGCTAATGGCTCTTTGTGACTGACTGTGCCAGGTTATGGTCTTTACTTACATGAACCATGGCCGGTTCTTGAAAGACCTCCTTCCACTGTTTGTCATATTCTGTTCCCTGAATACTATTGCAGGCTGTCTTGCTCTGGGTTTAGTGCTGCCTACTCACCTCTGTTGTCTTTCAATAAAACTCAGAATATTTGTGTTTTCTGTGCTTGTACAGTAGAAGTTTCAAGGAGAATTCTGTGTTGTTTTTTTACAGGGTGAACAGCACGATGATCTAAAGGGTTGCCTTGCCCACTTTATATATGTGTGTGTGTGTAGATAGATATAGATATAGATATAGATATAGATATAGATATAGATATAGAATTGATTTTTTTACAGAGAGGTAGGGAGAGGGATAGAGAGTTAGAAACATCGATGAGAGAGAAACATCGATCAGCTCTCCTCCTGCACACCCCCCTACTGGGGATGTGCCTGCAACCAGGATATATACCCTTGACTGGAATCAACCTGTTATCCTTCGGGCTGCAGGCTGATGATCTATTCACTGAGCCCAACTGGTCAGGGTTGCCTGACCCTCTTGATTGGAACTGGAGGGAGGTATGACATAAGGGTGGTGTTTAGATTATACCAGGAACCTGCTCTTGTCCAACAGAGTTTAGGATGAAGTGCCACTGCCAGCCGCTCATGTTTCTACCTTTTCATTCCCATGCTTGACACTTCCCTGACTTATCTTTTAATCTGTGACTTCCTGGTTTCTGGCTTCCTTCACCTTTTTGCACTTTTTCCAGCACCTGTTCCTCTGAACTGCTCTATCTGAAGTATTCTCACATATTGACCTGCACATGTGTTATGAGGTGCACACACGTGCTCACTAGACCCCGACACAAGCTTTTCATTTCTTGAATTTTACTTGGAATAAGATGTAGCCTGCCTTCTGCACAGTTTGCCCATGTTACCAGCAGACAAGTCCTGTTGAACACTGTTAGCAGATGCATGAGCGGACGATCCAGCTTCTGTTCTATGTGGTGCTTGCCATGTTCGTTTCATATTTTGTTTGAGATCTTCCTAGTATGGTTATCTTAGGTGGCCCAGATCTTCCCTTGTTGTTCTCATTCAGCAGCATCTTATCAATATTTCCTTCAGATATTTTACTGTCAGACAATTGCATGTAACCAACGTGTTATGTGTGACACACTTTTGGAATGAGACTTATCCTGTCACCACAGTCCACATTCATTTCATCACCATTTCTCTCTTTGCAGGTTGTTGGCATAAAACGGGTGATGTGGAGGCCTGTTCTGAGCAGAGTGTATCTGTACAAGGGGAGTCAAAGGTTAGTGCTTCTAAGACAGCTCCAGCAACCCAGAGAACCCTGCACTGTGGGAGGTGTTTCTCAGTGTTCAAAGATATTCTGCACCTGACTGAGTCACAAGCAGCAGACTTTGAGCAAAAAGCCTTCTTCAGGGACGCATGTGTGAGAGACTTCTGTTTCAGTGCAAACCCTCACCTGAAACAGAGGGAAGCCAGTGGAGAGAAGCCCTGGAAAGGAGCTGTGGACAGGGCCTCATTTGTGACCAGGTGCAGCTTCTACTTATCAGGGCTGCCTTCAACCAATAAGGAGGTTGGGAAAGACTTCCCAGCCATCTCAGAGTTTCTCCTGCCCCAGGCCCCTCTCCACACTGAGGAGCCACACAGTCCTAGTGAGATTTCACAGGAATTTCTGAAAAGAAAAAGGAATCACCAGTGGGATGATAGTGAAAAAGCTGCCAGCCACAACCAGAACCTTGTTCAACGTCAGGGCGTCTGCTCTGGGGAAGAGAAATATGAGTGTGATACATGTGGGAAACTTTTTACATGTATCTTCAACCTCAATAGACATAGGAGAGTTCACACTGAAGAAAAGTCCTATGAATGCACTGACTGTGGGAAGCTTTTCAATCATAGGTCTTCCCTGACTAAACACCGCAGAGTTCACACTGGAGAAAAACCATATGAGTGCAGTGAATGTGGGAAGCTGTACAATGACAGGTCTTCACTCAAAAAACACCGCAGACTTCACACTGGAGAAAAACCATATGAGTGCAGTGAATGTGGGAAGTCCTTCAATGAAAGGTCTCACCTCACTAAACACCGCAGAGTTCACACTGGAGAAAAACCTTACAAATGTAGTGAATGTGGAAAATCATTTAGGTGTAGTTATGACCTCTCTGCCCATAAGAGAATTCACACTGGAGAAAAGCCTTATAAATGTAATGAATGTGGTAAATCATTTAGCCGCAGTTATGTCCTCTTGATCCACCAGAGAGTTCACACTAGGGAAAAGCCCTATCAATGTAGTGATTGTGGGAAGTCCTTCAGTCAATACTCTAACCTCTTTAACCACCACAAAATTCACACTGGAGAAAAACCTCATAAGTGTAGTGATTGTGGGAAGTCCTTCCGTCACAGGTATTCCCTCAGTAAACACAACAAAGTTCACACTGGACAAAAACCATATAAGTGTAGTGAATGTGGTAAATGTTTTAAGGAAAATACCCATCTCCTTATCCACAAGAGAGTTCACACCGGAGAAAAGCCCCATCAATGTAGTGATTGTGGGAAGTGCTTCCGGCAAAGATCTAACCTCATTCAGCACCTACGCTTTCAGAAACCACATCCCACTTGCTAACCTACTCAGGCCTACAACCTGATTGATGTCACTGCACATGTTTGTGTGGAAGCTATTTCACCTCTCCCACCTGGCTCACCTGAAGAGTGTGCATCCGTCACAACCCCTGCATACTCTGGGGCTGTGCTTGAGAAAATAAGGAATATTCGATGCTCCTGGGTGGATCTCATTCCCTTATTTCTGACCAGAGAAATGACCTGACCCAGGTTTCATCCAGAGCACCCTCCTCAGCTAAGTGCTTCCTCTTTCAGGGACATTGTGGGACTCACATTGTGCTGTGAGGCAGTGTTTCAAGTTCCAATTCATCAATCTGCAAACTTCTTGCTGTCCTCTGCTCTATCATCTTTATTTGTAAAGGTGTTTTTTCTTTAATTTTGTTGGTTCTGTTTTCAATCCCTGGGATGATTGAAAGTAAAGTGATGTGTCAGCATGGACAGGTGAACATATATAGTAGGTCCCAAACTTTATGTGCTTTGGAAGACACAGTTTGATGGCAGAAAATCACTTTGTCTAATATTGGCTGAGTTTGTATTGCTGAGCAAGGCCTTGAGAGAGACTATGCATGACTTTGTGGTTCTAATCTGCTTCTGGTGCCTCTTGTAGAGCTCAGTGGTCACCCTGAACGGATGGCCTTTATTGTGCTTCTGTGAACGATATGCAGTATATTCTCTGTTCACAGTATGTATTACACAAGTGTCAGCAGTGTTTAGGGGAACTCCTCTCCACATGCCCCACAGAGGCCATGTGTCACAATGTATGAGATTTCATAGGCTGGGGTCATTTGTTGTAAGACTCTGAGGTGGAATTAGTATTGGGACATAAACACTGTTTTCATAGTCATAGCAGAAACTGCGGTTAAACTAGATGAAAAATGCCTCTTCTGGACATAAGTCCACATTATTCCAGGGCCTGTGTCTTGTATGATCTTTGATTACTTTCTGAGGAACTCCATCACTATTTCCTGTAGCGGAAGTCACTGGCAGCAAAATAATCTACTGGGTTTTTTTGGATTCCTCTGGTCCCTCTAGGGTGTTGACCTCAAGGTTGTTGCTCAACTGGCAAGACCTCAAAGCTAGAGGAAGGATAATGCTGTAGTCAGTCCCAGGATGTGTCTTTTGGAACCAGTCAGCATTCCTATTGATTCCAATGGCAATAGTCTTCACTTCTTGACAACATTTGCTGCCACTGAGGCAATGCTCGTCCTCCCAGGATATAAGTACTGCCATGCAACAAAGTGCACCTCTCTCACGTGTGTTCTTTGGTGAGCCCTGACCTAGAAATAAAGCTGTGAAACTGTCACATGTGACATAAACTCACCTGTAACTCATACACAGGGTGGGGCAACAATAGGCTCACAGTTGTAAGTTCAGAAAACACAGAGATTATTCTTTTTTAAAAATATTTTAGAAAATACTTTTATTCTTTTGGTGGGGAGAGAGAGATCAAGTGAGGGGAAGGGAGTGAAAGACAGATCTGCAGCCTCCTACACGTCCCCTACTGGGGATCCATTTGGGGATTTGCACTGACCTGGAATCAAACCAGAGACCTTTCAGTGAATGGGATGACACCCAATCAGCTGAGGACACTGGCCAAGGCAGAGTTTATTCCTGTATTATTATTATTAATTACTAAAGGTCCGGTACATGTAAGTCCTGCTCTGTGGGGGGTGAGGGTAACTCCTTAGCCCGGCCTGCACCCTTTGTAATTCGGGACCCCTTGAGGGATGTCCAACTGCCGGGATAGGCCCGATCACGCAGGAATGGTTGGACATCCCTCTCACAATCCAGGACTGCTGGCTCCTAACCGTTCACCTGCCTGCCTGTCCTAACTATTCTGCCTGCCTGCCAGATCCTCCTAACTGCTCTCCCTGCCAGCCTGATCGCCACTAAACGACCACCTCTGCCTCTGCCTCTCCACCGTGGCTTTGTCTAGAGCAGTGATGGCGAACCTTTTGAGCTCAGCGTGTCACCATTTTGAAAAACCCTAACTTAGCTCTGGTGCCGTGTCACATATAGAAATTTTTTGATATTTGTAATCATAGTAAAACAAAGATTTATATTTGTGATATTTATTTTATATATTTAAATGCCATTTAACAAAGAAAAATCAACCAAAAAAATGAGTTTGCATGTAACCTCTGACACACGTGTCATAGGTTCACCATCACTGGTCTGGAAGGACGGCCGGAAAATGTTTGGTCTAATTAGCACATTACCCTTTTAGTAGTACAGATTGTATCATTTTCCATACCGGCAACTCTAAACCTACTTTTGCCACATCCTATATTTTCCTACTGCCTTGTTATACTCTCTCTTCTGTCTTTCTTGGCCCTCCAAGTGGTCATGGATTTCCCTGTCTTCACAGTAGCATAGTTTATACTGTTCAAAATTTTATTGGCACTATTTGATGTGTACTCTTTAACAAATACTGGTTTCTTCCATGCTATGCAATCTATTTGAGATTCCACACAAATGCTTATGTAAGGAGTTGATTGTTTTTTTTATTCTGAGTAGTACTGGGTTCTGTGAATAACCCACCTTTTGTGTTGGTCTGTCTATGTTTTTTGTTATTTCCAGCTCTGGGGTATTATAAATCTTTGGGAATATTTGTGTTCAGTTCTCTATATAGACATATGTTTTACTTATCAAACTTTGTGTATATGAATGTTTTACGTTTAAGATATGTGGAACTGTGACCCGAAATGGTCATTCCCTTTGCCTCCCCACTGATCCACGGTATATAAAAATTCCAGTTTTTCTGCTAATGTGCAACGACATACATTGGTTAACCTTTTCAAATAGTAACCCCGGAAATGCATATAATGTTAACTCACTTTCATCTTAATTCCATCTACCTAAAAATTTTTTAGAGTGAATATTTTTTCATACATTTATTATGCTATGTTACAATGTCAGCTCGGGGCCTTTTTCAAATTGTTTAAATAAATGTATTACAAACTTATGTAAACAATTGGTATTTTTTAATTTTTGTTGTTGCAAAGCAATACAAGTGAGTTTATTGTATAAAAAGTGTTTTACATTTTTTCCCATACACGCGCAATTAGTGCCGCAGTTTTGGCATATGTCCGAAAACATACGTCAGCAGCCAAACGGTTAATTTTCATTGTTAACATTTGGAGCCATTCTGATTTAAGTCTAAGCATTCAATAATACATTAAGCAAAGTCTAGGGTTGTAGTATTTGTCATTTCTCTGGTGTAAATACTCTCATCACGGTTTTAAACTGCCCACATGGCATTGAACACAGATGTGATAAGATCTTTCAATAGCATATCATGGTATTGTATTTCCCATACACTGATACAGTAGCAACAGATGTGCTCCAACACTTTCCTAATAACACAGTACTGAAGTACTGATGGGGTGGTCATAATAATCTGGCCACTCAGTGAATATATATTTAAACATATGCTTTTTGTGTTTCCATGTATTCCTGCATCGCTGAAACCAAGTTCCTCCTGCCCTTATCAATGCTTCAATCATGGCCTTTAAAATAACCGAAGAAAAATACAGTCTGCCTTTGAAGTGGCCTATGAAATACATCCATGTAAAAAAGACTTACAGCCCTAACCAGTTTGGCTCAGTGGATAGAGCATTGGCCTGTGGACTAAAGGGTCCCAGGTTCAATTCCAGTCAAGGGCATGTACCTTGGTTGCGGGCACGTCCCCAGTAGGGGGTGTACAGGAGGCAGCTGATCGATGTTTCTAACTCTATTCCTCTCCCTTCCTCAGTAAAAAAATCAGGAAAGTGTATTTTTTTTTTAAAAAAAAGACTATGAAACCCTATGAATCCCATTCTAGCTTCCCACCAGAATGTCATCAGTATGGCTTTTGTATCTATTCTCAGGTACATCGTTGGGCTATTTTACCTAAATAGGCACATATGTCCAGCTGTCACCAAATAGCTCAGTGGGTCAGAGAATCATCTCAATAATGTGAAGGCTGCAAGTTCCATCCCTGGTCAGGACAATTCCAAGCATCAGCCAAAGAAGGTATAAAAGTAATGGAACAAAAAATGGTTGTTTCTCTCTATATCCCTATTTTTATCTCTCTCACAATCAGTATACACTGAGTGGCCAGATTATTATGACCACCCCATCAGTACTTCATTGACACTTCCAAAAACACTGATATTGAAAACTTCCTCAGCAAATACCCTCAAGGTTTTATTATTGTTATTTGCATAACTAATTCACTTCATTGTACTGATGGGGTGGTCATAATAATCTGGCTGGTCTTAATAACCGGGCCACTCAGTGTATATGCTTTAACCGCCCAGTCAGTCCACACACTTGTGAACACCAGAACCACCCAGGGCCCCGTGGAGACCAGCAGCCAGGGTTCTCATGGGGGCAGGGCAGGCAATGACGCAGACAGCAGGATGGGTGATGCCAGGGCTGTCAGTGTAGCATAGCAGGCGGGGGCCTGGGCTGAGCTTCGCCAGCACCCACAGGGGATGATGACATCAGTGTGCTCCCTGGACTCAAACTAAAGCAGCTGGGAGAAGCTCTTGGGCTGGGATGTGCCCCTTGTGGTCTCTGCACCTTCCAGCCAGGGGTTGAGCCTGGACTATTGCACCTTCAGGGGGTTGAGGAGCTCAGATTCCTCTCAGGAGTCAAGGCTGGGAGCAGCGGTGGCAGCTGGGCAGCTAGGTGTGGGCAGGAAAACTCAGGGCAGTTACCATGGGGAGTTGGTGCTGGGCTACGTGTGTGGCTCTGAGGTCCTCTCTTGTTCCAGTCCAGGCTGTGGCTGCTCTGTTTTTTGGGGCCATGGTTAGTGGGAGATGGAGCAAGCTCTGCTGCAGGAGTTCCTGGGGCGGCGTGACCTGGGAGTGAGCATGCACTCCAAGAAAACTTGTGACCCAGGCAGGTGCCAGCTAGTCCAAGGTAATGAGGATCTCCAGCCATTGACCTGCCCCGGAGGGAGAGGAGCTGTCTCTGAAGAGGCTGATTCCCTGTCTTCCCAGCAGGTGGCGATGCTGG